CCCAGCCTTGCACCCTCTGGCCCTGCAGCTATCCCACTCCCCAGCTGTCTTGGTGGACAGTGACCTCTGTTTCCCCAGGATGGTTTTGTGTTGTGCCAGGACCCAGCTTCACACGGGCATCCAGACTTCCCCAAGGTTTGGGTTCAGGCCCATTTCTACTTCCAGCTTTTTGTAGTGTCAGGGCAGGAAGCTAAGAGGGCTTCAGGGGCCCGTTCTGCTTTTGGGTACAACAGGGTCGATCCGGAGTGACTTCACTTGGTTTGCCCAGGGCAGGACTGGTTCCCTGGCTTGGTTCTGGTCACGTTGATCTCTGAGGCCCACTCACCGGGCTTGCAGGGGCCCTGACAGCTGGGGACACCGTGGACGTGCGTGGGAGCGAGCAGCACCTACGCCTCTGCAGACCAGGCTGCCGAGACCCCGCACTGGCTCTACCCTACCCAGTGCTGCCAGAGCATCCCGGGGGGGCACCCCCAGGCCTGTGGCACCCCCGGGGCTGCTGCACCACCCGGGCGGGGGGTGAGGACGTGGCGCCTAGAGCTGAGCCCGGGCTGCGTCCACACCGGGTCGGGCAGAGGGGCCGGGGGTGCCGCGTGCCTGGGGAGCCCGTGGGGTGCGGGGCCTGGGGCGCTCCCGGGGCAGCCGCTGCACGGAGCCGAGCGTTTGCTTTCCACCGCCCCAAGCCCACGGCCTCCGGCACGGCTGCAGCCTGGCCGAGACAGGCCCAAGTGCCCAGGGCTCGCCCTCAACCCCTGCCCAGCTCTGTCAGTGCTTGGGGCCGTGCGGGCACAGGGAGCCCGGGCTGGGCCAGGCTCAGACCACAGCGGAGCTGGGAGGTGCAAGCATCCGCTATGGCTCAGGTGAGCCCATTGCATGGGCTTGAGCCTTCAACCAGGGCTGCAACGAGTGTTGTGGGGGGATGCACTTAACGCCTGAGCAGGCAGGGGCAGGAGCAACCCCCAGGGAGTCCAGCTCCTCCCAGGGCTTGAACCCAGGGCTGCAATTAGTGCCAAACCAGGCCCAGCTGGAGCAGCCTCGACTGCAGAGCCTCAACGAGGCACAGGCTGCAGCCAGGGCTGCACTTAGTGCCTGGCAAGGAGCTGCCATCACTGCAGGCCCTGGAGCAAGGTCCTGCTGCACCCAGGCCTCCATGCAGAGCCGGGGCAGGTGAGGACAGGGGCTGTGAGCCAGGGAGCCCTGCCTCTGCCCGGGGGTCAAGCAGCCCCCAGAGCCGGGCAGGTCTGCAGTCGAGCAGGGCTCCCAGGGGTCCTTCCCCAGCGAGAGGCAGGTCCCGGCTCCCTGCAGGGCTCCCAGGCTCTCGGAGCAGGCCCAGGCAGAGGCACGGCTCCCTTGGGGCGCAGGGGCCGTGCCGCAGCCAGAGCAGCCTTCTTTCTGCCTTGGACCGGGGGGCAGAGGGGTGCTGCAGGGGGCTCGTGATCCAGCACCGGGCAGGGGACCTGCCAGGTGGGCAGAGGAGCTCATGTGCAGCCGCCGGGGGGGGAGCACCGGCCCCCTGGGCTCAGCGGTCCCCCCCAGCCGGAGCAAGGCTCTGCCCCCAGCGCGGGGCGGTGGAGGGTGTCCCACAGCGGAGGTCACTGGCTTGCCCCTTGCACAGCTCCTCGCTGGGGCAGTGAGTGGCCTCCTGGGCACGGCGTTGGGACCCCTCCCCGAGGACAGCAGACCTGGGTTTGGCCCGGTGGCTGCCCGGCTCATGGCCCTTTGCCTTTTGGGGCCCCAGAGGCAGCTCCACCATGGTCTGAGCCAGGCCCCGGGGAGGGTATGTGGGCAGGCAGCCTTCCCTGGTCCCCACATACCCACGCTCTGCAGGACACGGCTGTTCGGCTCCCCGAGGGCAGCCCCAAGCCCAGGTCTCACCGAGAGCTGGGGGGCCGGGGCAGGGTGCTGTGAAGCACAGGCTGGGGGTCCAGACTCCCTTGTGGCTCTGAGCCCCCCCCCCCCCCCCC